GTCTTATGCAAGATGGAATTGCATTTCTGGTGGGGTAACACATATCCTGAAGAACTGGTTGATTTGTCATTTCTTGGATTGGTTCAACACGGATTAAACGATGAGAATTATCCCGAACCCAAGTTTGCATACACCAAAACAAATTTTTTTTCTTTTTAAGGAAAGAAAGAAAATTAGTTTTTTTTATGAAAAGATAAAGAAAAAGAAAAATTATTAACTAAAACAAATCAAAGCAAACACTTTTCAATCAACTCTAATTCTAGGGTTTAGCTTAACTCACTAGACCAGCTCCTAACCAAAAACTCCTACAGTAAAAAGATTAAAGTTTTACCCAGATAGTTAGCCAGGTAAGGATAGTACTAGAGGGTGATCAAAGATCAATTAAGTACCTCTTTCCTTACGGAGCGCTTTACGTAACCCCTAAACCTTGCCTTAGACACCAACTAATCTGAGAAAACTTAAACCGGTTCACTTAAGGATTTTTTGTTCCTTATTGAGCTCGAATCCTTAGGGGCCAACGTCTAATGAGTTTTAGAAGGCTTGGGTTTGTGAAGTGAGGAATTAGTGATTTGTGGGCTAAGGAAAGGATGATGAAATCCCTTACCTTATCTTGATTATGGGTTTTACCCTTAAGAATGTTTTAAGTGTGTGCCAAATCAAGTGCTACAATCACTTTGGTGAATTCCTACACTATATGAAATGCAACCCTAGAATTAAAAAGCGACTAAAAAGGATGATAAAAAGAAAATATTTTTTAATTATGGTCAACAACAATCAAAATGTGAGAAGAGAGCTCTAGTTTGAATTTATTATCTTGTTAGTTAATGTCCAAGTGAAAGGTGGATTTTATTATGGTCAACAAAAATAAAATCTTTTTGTTTTTTTTAATCCTAAGTATCTCTGATTGTGAAGCTAACTAAAAAGGATGGAATTGAAAACTAGAAAGAGGACTTACCCGAAAGCAATTCTCTAGATTCTTGATCTTCAATCCAAGACTTTCAAGCTCCAAGCGGTTCCTTCACAAGAAAACACACAAGTTAGAATATAATCCACTAACCAATTTTAATTACAAAATATAAACTATTCTCTTTTTATCATATTTCAACTTAGATTTATTAAGCATAGATTATCAAACCATTTAAGGAAAGTGCAACCTATCAAATTATCATCTAAGTCAAAATTACTATTCATGATAAGAACAACAACATGATAATAATCCTAGAATTCATAAGCATAACCTATCAAACCATTTAAGATAAGCATAGATTATCAAATTCTTCTTCTACCGATTAGTTCTCTAGTTGATTATCCTAAACATGAACATTTTAAATGCAAGAGAATAATTCATATAATATAAAGGAAATTAGACTAGTTTCATACAATTCTAAGATTCCTACAAGAATTAAATTCACATCTTAAGAAATAAAAACAAGAAAAAGAACTAATTACAAAAATAAAAAGAAAAGAAAAATCTAAACTATGAACATGAAATAAATCTAACTACAAAGAAATAAAAATCTAAACTACAAAATAAATTGCAGAAATTAAATGCAAGAAAATAAATCTACTCTACAAATTAAAGTGCAAAAAAAAAAGACAAGAAAATAAATCTACACTACAAGCATGAATGTAAATCTAACTAATAAGCAATAATAAATAAATTACAAAAAAGAAATAAAAAAGAAAAATAAAAGAAATACAAACCTTCAATTTGCTCTTCATCTCCATCCTCATCATTCAACAAAGAGGAGAAAAGAAAATTTAAAGTGGAGAAAAATTATTATTATTAATTGCAACTAAAGTTATAATTTTTTTGGAAGGCCTTCTCAATTAAGAGTAGCCCTCCTCTCCAAATAGAGTTACAAAATTTTTCACACCCCTAACCCCTCACTCTCTACCCCTATTTATAGTAAACATCAGTGAATAAGAGCCATTGGATCGAAATCTTATCCAAAAACATCAATTTTTAGCCTTTGATTCGTAACAAACTGCTCAGCGTATCGATACCAGCATCGATAGGGGTATCGATGCGGGCATCGATACGGGCATCGATGCGGGCATCGATGCCCCCATCGATGCTGGCATCGATGCCAGATCTTCTCTGGTTGCTTTCCGAACTTGTTTCTTCTTGTGGGCTTTGGGCTTGGAAAATTTTTTGATTTCTTCATTTATTTGATTTGGGCTTTGGCATTTCTTGGGCTTTACTTCTTCTTCTTCGCTTGGGCTTTTGGATAATTTGGAAATTGATTTTCCAATTGGCTTCATTTATTCATTTAATCAACAGGTTTTTGTTGAGAGATGGGAGTTTGAGATTTATTCTTCATTAACCTGCAATTAAACATAAAAACAGTTATTAGTGGTATATTTATTCATATAAAATAGATAATGAGGGTATAAAACTGTAATAAAATGTGATTATAAATCGCTCAAACTCTGTAATTGGTTCTGGGCTCTGTCGTTGGTGTGGTCGACTGTCGCGGTTAACTGCCAGACCCTGTAATAATTTAATGGGTTCTGTCGTTTGTCGCGATCGACCGTGGCAGTCGATCGCGTATCGGGTCAGGCCCAGATTATTGTTTCATGTTCTGTTTGGGATTGATATTTGATATAAGTTCAAACACACGTTTTATAGTTTCTTTGGGATTATTTTGGGGTTATTGGAGCACAGAAAAGAGAGATTTTTTTGAGCTATTGGTTAGGGTTATTGTTTGAGAGATTGAGAGCTTTATTGGTGAGTTTAGTTGGCTTGTTTTGAGTGATTTGTAATCTTAGTTTGTACTCTCTTTTTCTATTAGTGAAAACCTATCCCCTTCTTGCCCCGTGGACGTAGGCAACTTGCCGAACCACGTAAAATTGGTTGTTTGTGTTTGTGCCGTTATTTTGGTTTGTTTGGTCTTCTCTCTCGGCATTTGGTTTAGTTCCTCGCACCACAACAATTAGCTTCCACGCACAACAAGTGGTATCAGAGCTTGGGCTACGTTTGGGCTAGTTGGAGGAGTAGATCACTTTGGAAGTTCATCTAGGACTTCAGTTGGTGATAAATGTTGGATTTTTACTATTATGGATCTTGTCTACCATCGTGTGGGGGTGAGATATTTTGGAGGCCCTTATTAGGGTTTTAGTTGGAGGTAAAAATCTCACTTTTTAGTTTGGATATATTTTTCGTTTGTTTCACATTCGTTTGTTGGTGTTTTGAGAAAGATGACCGAGAAAGAAGGAGTTGTGGAGGGTACTTTCAACGTGAAGACCGTCTAAGTTTGAATATCCACTCTATGAAGATAAACTTGGAGAAGTTTAACGGTACTAACAACTTTGGTATTTGGAGATGTGAAGTCTTGGATGCGCTCAACGTGCAAAATTTGGAAGATACATTGGAGTTGGATGGGAAACCGGACGACATTGAGGAAAAGGTTTGGAAGAATATGAATCAAATGGCATGTGGTGTGATTAGATCTTGTTTAACTCAAGATTTAAAATATTATGTGATCAATGAGACTTCGGCAAAGAAGATTTGGGAGATCCTAGAGAGCAAGTATTTGATCAAGAGTGTGGAAAATCACTTGCATTTGAAGAGGAGGTTTTACTGCTTCCAATTGAAGAAAGGAACCTCCATTGGTGATCAAAAGAATCACTACACGAAGCTTCTTGTAGATTTGGCAAATGTAGATGTTATGGTTGAAGATGAGAATAAGGCGTTGTTGAGTTCCTTGCCTGATGAGGAATATGAGACATTCGTCCTTACTCTGATTAATAGGAAAGCATCTCTTTCGTATAGTGAGGTCACCGCTACACTTGTAAATTATCAGCTTCGGAAGAAGGATAAGGAGACTTCAATTGAGCCGGTAGCGAGGGTATTGGTCGCAAGAGCAAAGAGTCCAAACTAAAATAGGAGGTCGTAGTCTAGAGGGACATATCCTAGAGTCCGTAGGAATCAGTATGCCTTTTGTAAAGAGGATAGACATTGGAAAGCCGAATGCCCAAAGTTGGTTGATCGAGCCAGGAAGAATAAGTGAAAAGCTATTCAAGCTTCATAGGTGAATGTTTCCAAGGCTAGTGTTGAAAATTCATATTCGGATTCTTCTGATTCTACCATCAGTTTGTGTTGCCGAATCTACAGAGTGGACGTTGGATTCGGATGCTTCTTACCACATTTGCCCTAGAAGGGATTGGTTCTCCATCTTTTAGGAGTTGGAAAGAGGGGATGTCGTGCTCATGAGTAATAATCATGAATGTCCTATTGGTGGTGTCGGTACCGTTCGTATTAGGATGTGTGACGGAGTAATTCGGGAGTTGGATGAAGTGAGGTTTGTTCCACAGTTGAAGAAGAACATCATTTCACTTGGAGTTTTGAAGGCAATAGGCTATCGGACGATCTTAGAGGATGTATTTTTGAATGTCACATTTGGGTCCATGATTGTAATGAAGGGTGTCAAGAGGAAGAATTTGTACTATTTGATTAGGAGCACAGTGATTGACAGAGAGCTGACGACCTTTTTGGATTTAGCTAGACTGTGGTGTTTGTTGAGGCTGGGTTATTCGATTATTAGTGTTGTGTATGGATTGTTGAGGAGTGCTTTGACCTAAAGATTAAAGTCTTGTGAGCACATTAGTATGAGCAAGGAAACCGAGGTGGAGTTTGGCACTTCTATTTACCAAGCGAGGGGTCTTCTAGGTGGTGTTCATTTAGGCATTTGGGGGCCTTCCAAGGAAGCATCATTGGGAGGTAATCGGTATTTGGTTTCCTATGTTAGGGACTGTTCTAGGCATTTGTGGGTTATAACCAAGTCTCATTGGTATAAAGTCCTAGTAGTCAACATTAGATGGAGGAAGTGTATTGGCAGAAAGGTAACATGTTGTTCTATTTTTTTAGAGGTTCTTTTCTGTGTTTGTCCCAAGCTCATGGTAGTTTGAGACACTTTATTGGAGAGGAAACATTAGGGTGACGAGATAAGATACCAGTTTTGATGGGTCGTTCCTTACTGGAGGAGGATCGATGTTTGATGTCGAGCATTAGTTTTGGTATTCGGGCTTCGACATATTTGCGTCACCTTAGTCATAGGTATCCAACTACTGTGTTTAGAGATTTTAGATCTGGTGGAGCTGCTTTAGATATTGGGTTGCTTCGGATGTTTGGTCACCCAACATATGGTCACATCGAGGATGTGAGATTTGATCCGAGTGAACATTTAGGATTCAGAGGCTCGTTTGGTTATCAGGTGAGGGTCTCTGATTTTTTTTCTGAGCAGGTATGTCATATTTGACTCTCAGTAGGTGGAGAGTATTGATTAGGTCGTTGGGATATCACAGCGGGTGGAGAGTGATGCTACTCTATGTTGGGTGGAGATTACTCCATATTCTCCAGATCATTCTGTATCATTTGGGATTTTAGCTGAGGTGACATAGATTGGGAATCATGTTAATTTGGATACAGATGATGAGTTAGTTGATTCGAGTGTAGCTGATGGACACAGTTTTGATTTGGCTATGACCGCTGGTTCACCTCAGGTGGAGGTGTTTAGTTCGTTTTATTTTAGGGCCATTGGAAAAGTTATCAGTTGTAGATTTGTTGATGATGTTGGAGAAGGGTTGAAAACTCTTCTCGTTGATTAAGGGCCTTTGGAGGCCATTTGGGGAACTACGTGAAGGCTTAATTCCTTGAGCAAGAGGATACGTAGGCAGTCATTTTATGATGCAGCCGGCTTGGTGAGTAGACACCGATGTTTGGAGAGTGACCACATTCTTGTTTGGATCTCGACTTGTTGTGGATTGAGTCCGTTATTGTAATTTTGTTTCACTTTGTACTAGATGCAATAAGTAAGATGTTTGGTTGGTATTGGTATCAGCTCAGTTTTAGAAAAACTTCGCTGAGGTGGAGAATTGTAGATTTGGCGAAGGATTTAGTGAAGAACAGGTTTTGGAAGCAGGGAGTTATTTTTTACGGTGTGCGGTCGACCGCGATGCAAGGTCGGTCGACCGAATTCGTGAATGGACCGAGTGTTTGATTCTGGGCTTGGTGCGGTCGACCACCGCGGTCGCATGCCCAAACCCTTAATTGATTCTGGGCTTTGTCGTTGGTGCGATCGATTACTGCGGTCGATCGCCAGACCCTGTAATCATTTACTAGGTTCGATCGTCTGTCACAGTCAACCGTGGTAGTCGACCGCGTATCGAGTCAGGCCCAGATTGTTGCTTCCTGTTCTGTTTGGGTCAACTATCACGGTTGACAGCTAGACCCTATAATCGTTTATTGGGTTCTGTCATTTGTCGCGGTCGACCGGGGCAGTCGACCACGTATCGGGTCAGGCCCAGATTATTATTTCCTGTTCTGTTTGGGATTGGTGTTTGATATAAATTCAAACATATATTTTAGGGTTTCTTTGGTATTTTTTTGGGGTTATTGGAACACAGAAAATTAAGAGAGATCTTTCTAAGCTATTAGTTTGGGTTATTGTTTGAGAGATTGTGAGTTTTATTGGTGAGATTAGTTGGTTTGTTTTGAGTGATTTGTAATCTCAGTTTGTAGTCTCCTTCTCTATTAGTGAAAACTCATCCACTTCTTGCCTCATGGAAGTAGGCAACTCGGCAAACTACGTAAAATTGGTTGTTTGTGTTTGTGCCATTATTTTGGTTTGTTTGGACTTCTCTCTTGGTGTTTGGTTTGGTTCCTAGAAGCACAACAATTGGCTTCCGCGCACAATACTCATGTGGAGGCAAAGGTTTATAATACTGATTTATTGAAGGAAATTATTCTAAGAGGAGGAGCAACCCCTTATATCTAGACATAAAGTCTTGTGAGACTCATTGGATAATTCAAGAAATGATTTCCTAATTGCAATATCTATCGAGTGTAAGTCTGATAGATGAAAAAAAGTGTAATGGAGATCGTTTAGCAGAAACCATTTTAACCAATCTTCAAATTTATCTAATTGTTTCTTCAAGCACAGAAGCTCTAGTCAGAATACTAAAAATGCAAGATACATTGTTACCCTCATAAAAAGAAAATTTATAAAGTTTATCTCAATTTACTTAGATTTTTTTGCTAGTTGAATTTAGATGTTTACATGAAGCTTAATTTAAGTTATGTACAACATTAGACAACGGCCATGAAATTCAGGGCTACAACATATATCCTAAATAAAAGATGACTGCAATTGTAGGGTTCTTTGGGGATGGACCAAATGCTCAACGATCCTTTTTAAGAAAATTGCCTATAACGTTTGAGTTTATTACTCGTCATATACTGATCTACATTCTCCCTCTTAGAAATTTCTTTTCTTTAAATATATTCAAATCCATATCCCTGGCCTAAACCATAGTCAATTTTAGTCAAAATCACTACTCATACTATACTATATCACTACCATTACAAATAGTACAAAACAAAGCCTTCAAGCTTTTAACAAATCATGGGATCAACAATACAACATAAAATTTTAAGCATAAAGGATCCATATTGAAATCAAACTAAAAGTTCTACTTCTATTTGAGTAGACATTTCGGTTATATATGGTGAGAAGAATCTTGGTATCAATTCAGACATTGAAACACTTACTTAGGATCAATAAAATCTATTATATCATATTATCATATACTTAATTGTACATTCATGCATAAATATGTAAAAACAATAAATAAGAAATTTCCTGACATCTAAAATATTTAAGTGCAACAATTGAATTAAATCATCATCTATCAATGAGCATTCACACTTTAATATTGTAATCGCATAAAGAAATTCATCTAGCAAGTCAAAGGACATAAAGAAAGTAAAGATTTGACAGTTCACATCCCTTAAAGTTACATTATTTGGCTCCATTTGGATTTAACCTGTAAGATTGATCCTTTTGTGAAATGGGTGCCTACTGTGCCTCCTTATATTTGACCTACAATCTCCCCTTTATCAATTTACACATTCACTACTAATAAGCACCGCCTGCTAAGATGTGCTTTAATATTAGAACTAAGTAGCCTATACATCAAATTTGTAAAGGGGATGCAGACTATTAGTTGATAATTAACACTTATCAGATGTATTACTTACGAAGCGTACCCACTTGAATCACTGAAGTAGTGATTGATGCACACTCTTTGATAAATTTTCATGACTGCTAAAAACTAATTTTCCTATGTGGGAAGAAATTTGAAGAGGTTTAGACATCATGAAATTTGGAAATGTATAGATCTATGTGAAGAGTGTGATTCTCAGGGTCTTGAAGAGGTTTAGACATCATGAAATTTGGAAATGTATAGATCTATGTGAAGAGTGTGATTCTCAGGGTCAAGATTATAAAATATAGACACTAAACCTTCAAAAAGTAATAGTCAATCACACATGTGCATAATTTACTTCAAAAAAGAAAAACAATAAAAATACTACTTAACATCTATAACACAAGTTTTTTGTGTAGTATTTATGACTTTTAGCTAAACCCTTAAAAATTGCAAATGATATCATAAAGTTGTTCTTTCTAGTAAAATCAAGAGAATTTTGACTAAAATAAGAGTCTAAAAAGGAAATCAATGAAATATAATAAAAAATTATCCATTTTTTAACAATATAATGAAAAGTTACCTTGATAGATGGAATCTCCCACCAAACGCAAATTCCACTTCCAAGCACTGCATTAAAAAGAAGGGATGCAATTAGAAAATTATTACCTACAATCAAAATTAATTGTAATGGTTACATCCAATATACATATACATAAAAAATAAAGAGAAAAGATTAAAAATTGATACTTATAATGAAGAAATTCACTTTCTCTTCACCATCAAAATTCAATCAACAAGCAATTTATACAATTAAAATGCATTAAAATTTTAATATTTTCATTAAATTGGTAGTGGGAGACGTGGGGAGTTAAATAGCCACTGCAATTAGTGGTAATTATTGGATTGTGAGAGAGAGAGAGAGAGAGAAAAGGGGAAGAGAGAGGGGGTAGAGAATTGATTTGGCTGAAGTTATAAACTCGAGGAGGTGATAATGGAAAACATGGATTAAGATGGGCAATAAGTAAGGGTATTTATTAATCTTCTTTAATTATTATTATTATTATTTATATTAATAACTAATTAGTAAATTGATTTTAAAAATGGGAAATCATAATGATTGAAAGGGGGTAAAATAGGCATTCAAAAGTTTTGACACTTGTTTTCTCTTTTATAAGTAGTATAGATATAGATTAATTATTATTCTTAATATTTTCCCATCATGCGGTCTAGTTAATGCGATAGTCATATTTTCTAATTAATTATCATTATTCTCTTTTAACATTGTCCAAAGGAAGGTTTAATACTTTATACTACGGTACATATGAAGCTTGTCTTACTGAAAATTTCTCATACATAGCTTTATCTTTGATGGCCAAAATCATTAGCTTACTCTAGTGATTATTGAAAAGGATATTTAATTAATCTTGTTTATTTTGTGCAGAATCAGTGGAGATGAAAATGTTACCTTAAAGATACTCTACGGTGGTATTTGCCACACAGATATTCACAATATAACCAGATATAAAGTAGGAGCATAGTGGACATAAATAAGCTAGACTTATAGTATATTTAATTTCCAATTGAGCATTGGATATTAATTGTTGTCCAAGAGATAAGATTCCGCTTTTCTTCTTACTAGGTGGAATGCACGTGCACTGCACGTGGTCAAATATTATAATTATTTACTTTAACTTTATTTATTTACTATAACATGGTTGTAAAAAACTCTGTAATTATCATAATATATTAAAATTTGTGGATATTTGCATGTGTGATTTTAATATTTTGTCTACTAGATAAATAGTAATGTTTAAAGCCTTAAAATATTAATGATTTAAGATTAATTAGTAATTTGAATGTATAATTTTAAAATATTAATGATGTAAGGGACCAATACCGAAAAAACCTATTATTATTAATAAAAAGTAAATTCTTGAATTCATTAAGGAAAATAGTAGGTTTTATCTAGTCATTAAGGCTTTTGTTCAATTATAAAAAATCACTTCCACCTGTTGTTTACTTCCACCTGTTGTTTATCTGGCGATCGAGTATTATAGATATTCAAGAACTTTTTTCTAGAACTTTCTAAGTTAGAATGTGCAAATTCAATCAAGAAAGAAAATATAAATTATGTGATCAATTTTAATATCTGATGTTGTACTCTCTTTACATCTTCTCAACTACTAATTGATCTGTCAAAACGATTACTCACTAGTTTTAGAAAATTATAAAATATAGTCTGAGAATGATTTGTACATATTATGCACTCTATTGATTGTATTTTAATAAAATAATTCATATTTATCCAATGTCAAATAACATCTAAAATTTAGCTTAAGGAGTTAGAAGAATACAATATCTGTAATAATACTCATATCCAATCTATGAGCTTCATAAACTTATAAGAATGTGAGCAATATAAAATGACAACTTAATTTACTTTGTCAAATAATTTATTATGAATCATGAAAGACAAGGGGAATCAGAAGGATCCTATACCCATCCCAAATAAATATTAAAATTCTCTTAGAGATTCTTATAGCAAAAGATTTTTAGAGTTGATGTGTAGAATAAATTTAAGGATAAATAACCCAAAACAGTTCATTGAGTGATAGACTTGCTATAAACTTCACTCTTATAAAATTGATATCGCATGTGTCTTAAGTTGTGTTTTTGTTCAAGAGTTAATTTTAGAAAACTCCCCCTCAACTATGGAGGACATGACAACCCCTCTTCCCCCCCCCCCCCCCC